TCGTTCAGCATCGTTTAGGAGGTTTATAATTTGGTAGTTCCTTGTTAAGAAATTTTGTATTTTGTTGTTCAACATATGAACTTATCTAGTCCATCGCGCTTGGTACAGGGTTGTCTTCGTTTAAAGCAGCGTCCTCTCAACCTGGTAGGTATCGAGATTTTACAACTTTATAGTGGCGGACCTCCCAAATAAGCTATCAGTGAAGCTTGAAGCGAAAAAGCGCTTTAGAAAGCCCAAAATCATTCCGGAAGTCTTACGGACTCCGCCCATTTCCAGGCTCCGCCCACTTCTTTCATGTAAGTTGGAGCGAACGCGGACTCGGACAGCTTCGGAAGAAGCTCATTTTTGCCATTTGCAAGCGCTGAAAAGCTGAGATATAGTTTCAGGCTGGCGAGAAGGCTCCGAAAAAGTGAAAAACTAGACAACGAAATTTTGAAGGGACACTGCCTTTGAGGTGACCGCGCCGAGTAGACTCGTCCCTTCGGAATGGACGCGTAACATCCTTGTTTGGAGTTGATAGTTCAGGGCAGTCTAGCGCGGCGAGGGGATGGTGAGTTCACCGAGCCGCCAACCCGGGTAAACATTGTTTCCAAGGGTTTTTCCGATAGGGGCACGCTCACGGTAGCATAGTGTAAAGATGCAAAAGAATCGATCAACTCTATTCATTCGCCAATCTTGATGAGTTTTATATTACAGGAAGTCAATGTGAAACCAACTCCACTGTCAAAGCTGTTCTACTTCAATCGCGATAAATGGGGTTTCTTCGGTTTGGGTCTACTCGCAACCATTATCGGAGGTACAATCACTCCGGTATTTGCACTGGTTTATGCGCAGATTATCGGGGTAAGTTAATCAGTATATCTAAAACAGTGTGACTATTGCTTCATTTCTAGACATACTCATTACCATTGAATGAAATGAAGCGAGAAGTGTACTTCTGGTGTGGAATGTTTTTAGTGATTGGTGCTGTACAATCGTTGTCATTTTTCGCATCGGTACGTTCTTTTGCGCTACTCAGAAACCCTGTAACGATCGATAATCGATTTGTAGGCCATGTGTTTGGGTCGATGTGGTGAGAATCTGACGATGAAACTACGTTTGGAAGCATTTCGTAATCTTTTACGGCAAGACATCGGATTCTACGACGACTTGCGGCATGGAACCGGAAAGCTCTGCACGAGATTCGCTACTGATGCACCGAATGTTCGATATGTGGGTTTTGCGCTGTCACTAAGGA